TTTAACGGTTTAAAACGCGATATATTAGTTAAATTTATTTTAAAATATTTTTTTAACTTCGGCCCGACGTTTCGGATGCTGTGCAGCATTTTCCTAGATTGGTACGCGAAGCAATTGAAAAAAAAACACCGAAATTTCAATAGGGAGGACGGCCTCAAATTATCAAACACTTGGGATCCTATATTAAAAACTCTGGATCCCAATAAACAGCATATCGGCAAACACGAAGACACTGTCCATCTTTAGTCTCCCCGTGACCACGGCTGCTGCAAAGCATCCGAAACGTAGGGCCGAAGTTAATAATCATTATCAAATAAGTTTAACTAATATATCGCGTTTTAAACCGTTAGAGTGTTTTATTTAAATGTGTACTACTCGCGTAAACTATAGACAGTATTTGATACACCACTTATTCTAACAAGTCATTAACTTTTGTATTTTTAATGTGTTTTGTACAAACGCATTTGTGATTTTAAAAGATTTTACGGTAGAGGAGGACATACAAGCTTAAGGCTCACATAATAGTAGGCGAAATAAGTCCATCCATATAACCAAAATTCGCAATCGATCGATATCGCTTTGGATATTTGGAAATTTACAAACTGAAATCGAAACGCGATTAAACTTCACTGCTTTTTCATCTGTAGACACATTTAAGTAAATCTATTAATAAATGGGAATGAATGTTCGATGTACCCAAACTTTCCGAACGATTATATCTCCCACACCTGATACATAAAATATGTAAGTAATATACAGATTTCCAGACGAATTCCAACATGTTTTATAAAAATGATAAATCCGACAACATTTCAACATGTGGGAGTATGTTAAAGTAATCAAAAGTTTGACATGCAAATCTCCCCGAAATATGGGATAAATAATAAAACTGTATTATAAATTATATCCAGCGAATTGCGGCTTGCCTCTGACGTTTAATTACCGGCTTAAATGCTTAAAAGGTCATAAACGTCGCTACCGTGCGATTAAATTCACTTTATGACGAAAATCCATTGGAAATAGTAATAAAGCTCAGTACGAACTTTTCCTTATATATTCTGTTTATCGAGCACGGAGAAGCCAAAAGGAATTATGTATTATGTAATTTATTTGTCAAAACCTAGCGTTTTAAACACTAATTTAACGATTAGTAATTAAGCAGATACAAATGGCAGTTATATATTATGTAAATTATATATAGAGATATACTTCCTATCTATATCTTTCCAAGATATTTTTTATTAATTAGAAAATAGGGATAGATGTTAAAACAGATTTAATCGATCATGAAGTAGAATGTTAATAATATCTATTCTACCACCTCATTAATTTTTGTAACGATGAAATATGCAAATCTCATTACTCCAAGATGCCTGTGTCAACGGGCACGAGCCAGTCTCGCAGGAAATCAGACCTAAACGAGTGCGACCTTTTAAATGACGTAGAAAACTTTCTGTAATTATTATTTACGGCTCTGTGTCATAAATAATACTTATACATCGCAAAGTGCTTCTTTAGTGTTTAGTACGGAAGACAGGAATTCTATCTATTGGTTCTACAAATTAAAAAAAAAATGAAAGAGCCGCGTTATAGAAAAAATAAATTCAGTCTTGCGAACAGCACCTTAAACAGAGAACCGCCATATTAAGAGAGATGTCAAACACAAGAAAAGCCATTAAAAAAATACAGATTATACAACACAACAATATCACAATCAATAGTCTTCGTAGTGGATAAAGGCCGATAGTACTTTCCTTCCTGTGTGTATCACTCTGTAACTTGAATATACGTCGTAGAATATGTGTTCTCTTATCGGAGATGAGCTTCCTTTGCAGGTAAAGAAATATCCTGTGTATGATAGAGGTAACAGGAGCGTGGTTCACTTAATGGTAGGTATCTCATCCATATAACATCACAACAAAATATATTGTCGACCTTTTTTAGCTTTGGATACTCGTATTAGTTAGTAACTACGAATTATTTTTTAGTAAAAAGTGTATCAGTAGATATACGTATTGTAAAAACATATATTTTTACTTTCCTTTGAATATTTAGAAAAACTGATTTAGAAAAACTGATTTAAAAAAAACTTATATTGGCCTAGTTCTATTACAAAGATAATTCCTATCTAGTCATACCTGATCAGTAAGCATTGTAATAATGAGAATGCTTTCAAAACCCACTTTTGTGTAAAACAGCCGGACAAACAAAACGAGCGAGCGAATTGAAAAACAACCTTTGTCTATATTGTAAAGCATTATGTACACTACGCTTTTGCTTTAAACTTTTTATAAATTACAATAACAAAGGAAGCGTTGGAAATACTAAAATGTAACAGTAAATAAACATTGATTGTTAAATATTTTTGGTCGTATTAAAACAATAACTTACGTATTGGCACTTACAAAACAGGTGTAAAGATTTATTGTGTTAAAACTAAAATGAACATCATGTATTCTTTATACACTATGTTGAAAGTACCACATGTAAAAGTAAGACGAAAAAGCTCGTCTATCATTGGCCTTATGACAACTGAAAACGAGAAAGTAGGAGATCGATATTATTTTTGAATAACTTATCATTGTCATACAACAATAAGTAGAAAGCGACAGTTTCTATTAGACCATTCTGGCTATTTTGGCGAAAGAAAGAAACAATAACGAGCCAGAAATCGTCTTAACAGTTTCATCAAAGTATTATCTATCTATTATATTGTACTGTTCTGGTAAATATAGCAGATTCAACAATTAAAAAATATATAGGGAATTTTCTTATTTGTATACTAATATATAAATAACGCTGAAGAGTTTGTTTATTATTTTTTTAATCTCAGGAACTACGGGCTCGAATTGAAAAATTATTTTTGTATTTATAGGCTATAAAATGTATTGGTCACAGGGCCATCGCCCTGTGACCAAGCGAACATACAGCAAGATATGTGAAGAAAATCGGGAAAATTATTCATCATTATGAGTTTCCGAGGCGTACGGTGCAAAAACCGTTTTAGATACCCAAAAAATATGTATGAAAGAATGATTCCTGATATGTCTATCTCTAAGATCATCATGCATGAACGACGTCGTGGGTAAAAACGAATTTGGATGCCCGAAATAACTATTCTACGCGAACGAAGTCGCCGGCTCAGCTAGTAAAACATATAATAACAATGACGTGAAATCTGTACTAATATAGAAAGCTGAAGAGTTGGTTTGTAAGTTTGAACGCGCTAATCTTAGGAACTACTGGTTCGAATTGAAAAAATATTTTTGTGGTGGTTCTAGAGCATTTATCGAGGAAGGCTATAAGGCTATAACACACTAATAGGAGTGAAGAAACAGAGGAAAATTTGAAAAAAAGGGGCAAAATTATTCATCTTAGAGGCTTCCAATCCGTACGCTCCGAAAACGGTTCAATGTACTCCAAAAAATATGAAAGAATTATTCCTTTAAAATAATGTCCTCTATAGGTCTATCTCTTAAGATAAACTTGCAAGAACGACATACGACTTGGGTCAGTAACAGCTTAAATTCATAAAGATTCGCAAAAACAAATTTGGATGTCCAAAATAACTATTCTACACGGGCAAAGTCACTGATACAGCTAGTAAAATATCTAATAGTAACAATTACACACACACAAACCCAATGCCAGGTTATAATTATTACTAAAAAATTGCGTCAAATTATTTCTACGCCATTACCTGAAAATAAGTAAATACTAGAAACACTTTACTACAGCTTATACATACATATATTTCGTGACTCAAATTTTAATTAATAATCAACGCCTGACGTAATAAATTAATTATTGTTAGTAAAGTAATTCCTTGCCGAGTATTTTGTAGCAGGCGCGAGCTCGTGAACTATTCAGAGCACAGTTTCGCCGTATTCTTGTTATTGTAGTTTAATATTTTACTATCCAATTATGCTTTGAAGCCTTTGGGTGTATTTTAGGCTTATATTTTTATTACTTTACCTGTAAGCTAACTATGATGATAGTTGTATTTGTTTCAACCTTCGATAGAAAAGTAACAGATACTTCTTAAAATCAAAACGGCCAGTTTGAACCCCTTCAATATTAAATCTTTGTTTAATTGACACGCTTATCGTCTGAAATAACATACGAAAAACAATATTTCGAGTTTATACTCGAAAGGTGTTCCTTTACTTTTCTTGATTATTTTATTAGAGAAACAAAACGCCTGAACTAAGAGAACTAACTTAATTTGATCTCTACATTAGGAACGGACAATAAAAAAAATATAATAAGTCTGCTATTTACTGCATTCATTTAAATTATTAATGATAAAAATTTATTGGAAACGTTATAGATTAAAAAAAATAATCTGATCATTAATAGGTAATGCTTGAATGGTAACCTTAACATCTTTATTTAAGCCCTCGACATATATTTTGCCAAACCGTAAGATTCACGTGAAAATTCAATTTGTGGAAGGTCGACTTATTGTTTGAATAAGATTAGTTTCTTGTAAACTAAAATTAAGTAAGTAAATTTAACGACAGTTTATCTTTATACTCGTAGTCGTTTAAAAATGTGAAACTTAACAAGAACGTAACGGTTTTTAATCATGGTTGAAATGTAGTAATATACTTACTACTACAATAAACCGAAACAGTATCGTGTCATTACACTGGTCCTTTTTTTCTTTGGTTTAATGAAAGTAAACCATCACTTCAGCGGTCTACACTATTTTATTAAATATTCGAGAAAACGTAACAGAAACATTGGGTTGCGTAAAACTTCCACCTCCAATGACCTGGAAAGCAAGGTCGAAACCCAAGTCATTGTATTTTAACAGTATCGTTCTCATTAGACTTAGTTAAGACAATAACACAGGAAGGAAACCATCGTTACAACGTGAAAACTATCACACTAACAAAGACTGCTTCGTTCCACCGAATTTCACATTACTATAAATTAACACTGCAACATCGATGTGACATCAGTCGAACAACGTCAATAACGAGTCCACGAATACAATGACGTTAACAGTTTTTACTGTCTTTTTGATTGTCGGAACGCAGGCTATTAAGTTAGAACTAGCCGAGGAAAAAACGCCATACAATTATGTGAAACAAAAACTTGATTCGATGCTAGTTGATGCGAGAAGTGGTATGCCATTATCGAGTTCGTATGAAGTCGAAGAAAATGCTGACTATCCAGAAGAAATTAAAGGGGCAGCTTCCACTATTCACAATGCTGTCTCTGGTGTATACGGCCAAGGAATTGGTCTCGGTGGTATAGGAGGAATCGGATTAGGACAAGGATTGGGTATTGGTCTTGGCGGTCTCGGGGGTGTTGGTGGGTTAGGTATTGGAGGAATCGGTAATGGCATAGGCCTCGGTGGTGTTGGTGCCGGTATTGGAACTGTGAATGCTATCGGAGGTGCAGGTTTGGGAAACGCAGGCATTGGAGTAGCAAATGGATTTATTCATCCTGGCTTAGGAGGTATTGGGGTTGGTGGAATAGGTGTTGGAAATGGTCTTTTATATCACCCAGTCTTAGGATCGCAAGTGCAAGGTGGATATGTTGATAAAAACGCATACGATGCTGCTCAGAAAAAGGGAGCCGACCACAACGTTGAAAAATTAGAAAAAAAATCTGAAGAGGAAGTTAAGCATGGTCAGGAAGGGTTTCAACAAGGTGCTGCAGCTGCTAAGGCTGAAAAGGGAGAGTCGAGCTTTTTCAAAGACGAGGAAGCAAAGAAAAAGGCTGCAGGAGACGAAAAGTATTATGAAGGCGGACAAAAAGTGAATAAACAAGGTAAATCGAAATGTTTCTATAAGTAAAACTAAAATAATACTACTTAACTATGAAATATACATACACGATTAGTTTTTGTCCTGTTAAAAATGTAGTAAGTAGTTAATATGATAAAATTATAGGTGCTAATGAGGAGCAAGTAAAAAAAGCAAAGAGCCACAAGAAGGGACACGTAAGCAAGGGTTTCAAGTCATCTAGTAGCAAGAATGAAGAAGAGAAGTCTGAAAGCTTTTATGACGAAGCTCACGACGAAGCCGACCACAAAATTGCTGGACAAAATGCTGGCTCCTTCGGTGAAAACTCTCAACAAGGATTCAAGGGCGCTCATGAAGAAAAAGTACTTGATGCCAATGCGCAAGGAAAAGAAGGGCATCATATATCCGAACAAAAGATTGATGACGCTAAAGCTAATAAGGTAAGTTCTTATTTTAGTGAAAAATTGTCTGTTCATTTATAACACTAGAAATACTAACTAAAAGTTTCCTTAACCTTACATAAATTATTATGTTACAATAGAGTTCCGTTGGTTAAAAGAATGTATACTTTGGCGTTTTTATTTACGCTGTAAAACTATACAAAGTTAATTCAAAAGGAGTTATAAACTGTAGTTGAAACAATGCAGTAGTTTTGTAAAATCTGAGTTAAATACTGTCTATAGTTTACGCAAGTAGTACATATTTAAATAAAACGCGATATATTAGTTAAACATATTTGAAAAATATTTTTAACCGCGTTTTAAACCGTTCAAGTGTTTAATTTAAATCTTTGTTACTTTTTTTCCAATATTTTGTGGTGGTGAGTTTTTTTTTTTTTGCAGGGTGAATTTCTGCAGAAGGGCTATAAGGGAGGAGCAGAGCTGCTAGAGAAATTCAATAACCTGGGTGCCCAAGCTGTTCATGGCCACCAAGAAGCAAGTGGTGGATACCAGCAGAGCAAGGGAATTTTGCCCATACACTAAATATCAGTTGTTCAAACCTTTGACCAGGAAAACTTTAAAGACATTTTTTAAGTTGATTTTCGTTTTTCATTTACATTCTAAAAAACTTATTTGCTGGTTATTTAACTATTTCCTTTAACATACAATCCATATTTAGGATAGACATAAACAATATAAAAAATAATTAGGATTTTATTAAAATTACATGCAAATTAATCAAACAAACACTAATTTAAAAATTGAATTCAAATCTTTTATATGTAATGTTTCTTGAAAGCACATTTATTGGTTAAGCCGTTGCAATATATCATTTTCGGTGAACTTAACCAAGTATTGTTAGAAATGTATCCTGATTCATTACTACGTGGACTCGTAAACCTGAAAGCAACATATTCTGAATCGTGCATTGTAACGACTACTAACTACTACGTACTACGTACTAAGTATATATTAGCGAGTGATCCGTGGCATAAAAATAAACATATTAATAAAAAAACTACATATATTAGGGAGCGAAATATACTTAGTGAGTCAATTTAATATGGGAGAGAAAAATACAGAGAATAATTAATTACCTACGAATTAATTAATTCCGAAATAATTTAAATTATAAGTAAAATAAAATACGACTAGCGACTAACACCTGAAGTGACACTTCAGTGCATAAATAATACCGTTAAAGATTCTTTAAAAAGTGGCTGTACCCGACCGACTCAGGGCTTGGCGGTGTGAACACGGTCGAAGATATCTTGTTGGATGCACTGGACGCCTGAATCAAAAATCCAGTACTTATTACATAAACACCCTACCACTTAAGAATAGATGAAGTAACTTACGCCATTTAGGTGAACACAATATTATACACTGTATAGAACAGAGATACACAGACTGCAGCTTGCCGCTCTGAAAACGGAATACTGGTGGCCCGCCGACAGCAAAAATAATACTAAATAATCAATTATTTTTAAATTTTCGTACATTATTGTCAAGTCTTTATTGTCTTTAATTACCTATACTTCTGGCGGCGCGCCACCAGTTCATGATTTGCCCGAGTGGGCCCTAAGTCTGTGCATCCCTGGTATAGAAGGTAAACACGAAAAGGTCATGTAACTTAGCCAATGAATTGTTATCAATATAAATGAGTCAATAGTCCAGACAATCCGGTACTTTACCTGGCTTTGAATACTAAAGTTGTTTGATCGCTGCTTGCTTATCCGCCTTGGGGTCACGAGGTTCGAATGATACGGTTGCTATCAATAATAAACAATTTTACATTATCTACTTTGGGAAAACGTTATATTTCTTATGAGGAAAATACTAAAAAACTATTTTTAGAAGTCATAACTTTACATATAAGTTTTTCTGTTGTCCCTTATAGCGGCAGAGCAATCGTAGGCATCTCACAAGGACCCCGAAGAAAAGGCGGAGGCCCTTTGAAAAGATAAGTGTATAAGGAAAATAAAAAAGAAAGACCTTATAACGTTTTAGATGAACTATTCTTGTCTATCTATAATTTTGCCCCAGCTACGCGAAAAGAGGTGTTTTTGTTTTCCCGATTCTTTTTTAGCTATCGGGGCCCTTGTCCACCTAACTATGCTACTGATCCTTCATGAAAATTACAATATACGTTAATTTATATTTATAAGTATAAAGTAGTATATTTTAGCAATAATTAATGAGAAGATTATAAGGAAGTACATATATCTTTAAAATTACAAATTAATTTTAAAGATATAGGTATGTAACAATTTTTTATTTTTGAAGTAAGGTTTTCGCAAAATTTCTCCTATACAAAAAGGTTCTCTATGAATACAAGTGCAAAGGAAAGAAAAATTGCAAATTTCCCGCTATTTGTATTTGAAGGATCTCTTCCACTTACGCTGTATGGGGTGCTTTTTGCAGGCCGCTTGTACGTTGGCGTTGATTGAATAAATCCGGGGGACAGATTATTGTTCGGCGAGATGGCTATATTGAAAGACGTCTGCTCTATTTAAACAAAATATAATATCTTTTAATATATATGATAATTAATATATATTAAGACAATGATATACATTATCTTCTGATCGAGTCGTCAGGGTTCGATCTCAGGGTATAAAGAAAGATATGGCTCGAATAAACAAGAGTTAAATAATGTATTTGAACATTTATCTTTATAGTTGCATACAAATCATGTCATGCATCAATGTATATAGACAGACAAATAGTTTTCGAAATAAAATACCTTAAACGGTTTAAAACATGAAAAAATATAAGTTATCGTGTTTACAATTAAATTTAATGCTTTGCAGAAGCCAGTGTCACGGGGGGGATGCAGATGCAGGGTATCCCTTATGTCAAAGTCAATCACGAGAGTCGCACTGTCGTTAAAATAAATAGTACCTTAAAACCGCTTAAAGTGTTTTCTTTAAATAATTCTTTAAACATTGTTTAATAGTGCACTACTCGCGTAAATTACGGACAGTACGTAGGTAATTCGTTTTAGAGAAAGCTCGTCGAAAAATCGTGTTTTAATAAAATACTTTTGAAACATCTAAATCCCATTTTACGGTCAATACAAAACTGATACTTTACTAGACTGTCCATCGAGCTGTTGCTCATAATTCTTTATGATCTTCTGGCATTCCCGCAATTGTTTGTGTTGTTTTTGACACACTTCCGTTATACGCTTCAGTTCAGTTCTGGCCGTGTGAAATTTCTTTGTCTGCGTCACGTGACGAATTATTGAAACAAACGATATTTCTAAAGGTAAATAAAAGAAAAGAAGAGGTATTCTCACGAGATGTTATTTCAGTTTAACTTTTAAATGGTATTTATTTATTCATTTTCATTTAATATAGGCAAAACACGCATCCCGTTTAAGGACAGGTGCTTTGTTATTGTAAAAGGCTATAACTGTTTTAAATTATAATACTGTAAAGTTCATAAAACTAGGAATACTGATAAACTACTAACGCTATCAAAGACATTAGCTAAAGTAGAATTGGAGAGTGTTTAAACGTATATTGGCATTATACCTTTTGGCAGAGTGACTGTGCAGTATCGATTATTTTCACGTTATTCATTTACAAATACAAATATATCTCGCGTCTCGCATCTTTGTTTTAAAATAAGCGAGACAAAAATATTTTTGCCGAGTGCCTAACATTAGGTTCTCTTTTGTTTTTATGCTGTGCATTCTGTGTCCATTGTTATAATAATATATTTTGTAGAACAAGTGCTTATGGTGATCCTTTTAATTTAAAACTTGCTTTTACAAGGAAAAGCTCGAGGTGAAAATTCCTACCCACTTTCGAAATTTACATCAAACGAATCCGAGGATGACGTCAGAAATTATCCCGGCAAGGTTCTGTGTTAATTAGGAGAAGTTAATTAAGTCCTGGGTCCATATAAAAGCTTGAGGTAAGTGTCGCTTTGTAACCATGAAAGATAAATACACTTTGATCCTAATTAGGAGTCTGAAGGCCTTGTTTATATTATAAAATACTGTTTTCGGCCGAATATGAGAATTTACTTTTATACAATCACTATTTTAACTGAATATTGGAGATATATATATATATATAGTTTTTAAGTATGACTTCGTTAACTTACCGACTGTAATAAGTAAGACAACAGTCGTCGTCTATGCTGCTTTTGGAATTGTATAACTTCGCAACTCTTTTTTATTATTTCTTCTGGATCCGTAAAGTAATCTTGAATATCTGGATTCATCTGTAATTATTCGTACTTACACTAAAATATTGCCCTCACCAACTTTTTGATGTTTGGAAGATAATATACATACGTCAGGTACTAATTTCATCATAGTGCATGGCGCTCGACATACTATACAAGTGCTCTCCTTTAAGCCTAAGGAAATATGTATCAAGTATAAAAAACTTCATCATATTAAACTAAAAACTGGAAATACAAAAATAAGCAAACCATTGTTCAAACAATTGTTGCAAAACATATGACCGCATGATGTCAGTTGCAAGGTAACTCCAGGTTGTAATTGTGAAAAACAATTATTACAATGTATCCAATCCATTTCATGTATATGTAATCGTAGAATAAAATGTATTTATTATAATATTATTTATTATTATTATTAGCGCATGAACTTAATTGACCCGCCAAAGCACACACCAACGCCATACATCAACCATAGATTAAGTTGTCAAACACGATGCTTCTATTCTAATATCCACAGATAAAAATTTGCGCGTCATTAAAAGTCATGGTACTTCATTTATTGTCGATAATCTACGAATAGTGTGTTTCATTTAATAATGTTTTAAAGCAAATTCAAAAGACAACTACAGAAACTTTTTATTATAAAGTTATATTTGTATAATAATTAGTGTAGTATAATAAATAATATGTACCTGAAGTATTACTTGTTTAAACTGCGTGTCTCGCATGTGCAGAAGCGGTATTAAAAAAAAGGTTAATTATTCCAACGATGAACGAAGTAATCATTTTTATTTAAAATTAACAATGTGTTGTTATGCGATAGCGATACAGCATACATTCAGAATATATAAAAGAACAAGACGTAGCTACGTCCAGTCGTGTTTACATCCGCGCATGGTCAACTGCTTGACCATGACTTTGATATATACGAGTGTATTATTTTTGTTAGCCTTGACCTCTCAAAATGTCAACTGCAAATCAGCATGTACGTGTATTTACATTGTTCAGCGCGAAGATCTCTTAAAACGAGCAATACCGGGAACAATTGATACTGGCTATTTATAAAAAGAAATAGTTTTTTTTTAATTTACGTAAATAGCCTACAGACTTAAAAAGAAAATGTCTTATCCAAAAATTAATTGCTAAAAATTGTCTTTACATGTTGCCCATGAGTTGCAAATGATTAAAAGAAGAAATTTATTATTATAATTATTTTACATAAAATACTCATTTTTAGATAAAATATGTGTGCCAACGCAACATTTAAAAGCATGCGAGGAGATGTTAGAAGTTCCAACAAAGAGCAAAGCTTTACTAGAATGTATTCCTGCAAGAGATAGGTAAGAATATATTTTAATTCCATGTTTTGTATATGTTATTTAAATTATATATTTACTTTAATTATAGGAGGAAAATATATAAAAAAATAACAGACATTAACTGAATGATAAACTCTTTTTCAACTCAATACTTATTAAAAAAATTAAGCATTTTTCTTAACTAGATACTTCAACAAAGATATTACGTAAACAAGTAGAGATTTTCTTAATGCGAAAATTGCGTTTATGTATTGTGATTTTAATAGCAAACCGTCGAGTACATACCTATTACAGCATACTTATTCCCTTGGCCAGATAAAATAACATACGACATTTTTAAAGGTATTATGAAAAATATTGTATCATGTATGATGTTTGAGTGGTATAACATATCACTCACTTTTAAATGCTTCTTAAATTAAATTAATCGAAATAATTCTTCATAATTTGGTACAACATTTCAATTTTGAAGAAATAGTACTTTGCAATGAACAAAATTGTGAACTTGTTTTGACTAAATTTACCTCATGAGAATGGACTAGCGTCTCATCGCAATTTAATCACTGCTGACCTTCAACATTACGACGAGGTATCTGGAATAACTTAAATAGAGCTATTTGTTCGTACTTTAAGTGACGCTTAACTAGTAGTACAGCAGTAAACGTACTTACCAACAGCTAAAATCGCCGTAGAACCGGTTCCTCTTAATTTATTACCAGAGCTTTCCCTTTTGTTGTAATGGTTGTAAAAAGTTCATTAAACTCTATATTGTGAAATCCTGTTTCCCTGTGTGGGACATGGGACAGACTCGTATATATGCCTGTTTTATTCATCGATTTTTTATTAAATGATTGAACTACCCAATCAAAATACGAGACTAATACAATTTACTAAAATCTGCATTATTTTTTTGAACAGTTCAGGGGTAAGTACCTACGCTGTAAATATCTGGGGCTTTATTAGCACCTTCATGTTATCCTTAACTTATTGAAATACTATAATCAAATGTTTGTATATTATAAATAGAATATTTTACCTGCGTTTCTGTTACATAATCTATATCTCTATTTTTTGTCATAATGTGTACTGCAAGTTTAAGCATCGATTCTATACAAACTAGTAGGAGATACTATTCACTTCGCCTGTACGTGCTCAAAATCCAATAAACTGAAGCTTATGCTGCTCGTGAAGAAGATATAAATCTCACTTTATCTCCCGATCTGTCCTTAGGGACTTACTGGGGCTAGATCGTTAATCCACGTGAATTAGATCTTTTCCTGAAGATTTGTGGCTTAGAAACGATAAATAAAACTGATTATAATTATCGTAGTCTGTATTTCTTACTAGCATTTTGTTCAAAATTATACAGATAAATCTATTTTTAAACAGAAGTTGATTACTATGAAGTTGAATCTGTTCTTTGTTTGCTCTACTTAAACCATAGGTAATAATTAACTTTCAACACACTACATATCTGTGCAAATTTAATCCGTAGGATCGAATGTCTGAGCTACATTCAACAACGCCAAGCTGATTTGGTACCAGTCGACCCAGAAGACATGTACGTTGCCTCCAAAATACCAAATCAAGACTTTGTGGTCTTCCAAGAGTACAGAACAGACGAAGAACCAGATGGTGAGTCAAAGACTATATAAGTGTACTTTAAAGCTTTCGTGGTGTAACCATATTAAAACAGAAATACGAAACAAGTATAAATTGTTTGAACATTTCCAATGTTTGTGCCAAACCACAGAGCGGTGGTTCTTTAAAGTTTTCTACTGAAAATAGATGTAGGTTTTAAAACCACTTATGTATGTGTTATGTATGTACCACGTATGTTAAGTAGTTCTTTATATAGAATGTGCGAAATGGGAAATTTCGGAGATACAAATTACCTTGCGTAGTAATTCGTTATTATGTAGGAGAAAATATATTCAGAATTTAATATAAATTATTGAATTATATATGAAAATATATATTGAAGTTGAAATCATTTCACATGTAATATGTTTCAATTGCACCTTAAATTGTTAGTCCATCACATCTGTCCCAACTTGAAGCGACACTTTCGTAAGATTAAACCTTAGTTTCGTAACAACCTAAGTACACATCTTACAAACTCGATATTCACACAGACATGAATAGATTGGTGTATATAATAGAACTCGGTAGATTGGAGAACCCGCTTGACTAATAATTGGAATTAATTCAATGGGAAGGGACGAGATTTATGAAGATATATGAGTTATCACTATATGTGACATATACCAATTCGATAGAGGTATCTAGATAAATACGAAAGATAAGTGGACGCCATTATGTAATGTTTCCGCACTCCATACAATAAAACAAATAATAAATAAGTCCCTATTAATATATTAATAACTATAATTACTCAACGAAATACTACATGGATCTCCCCTTGACCTCTGCTGCTGCCAAGCATACAAAACGTCGGGCCGACTATAAAAACGTCTAAACACATACATATTATATATAATACGTAAAATATAAATCTTTTGGATCAATTAATACATTTCTATATCGGGTTACATTAAATTCTTATTGCTCCACCCAAAACTCGTAAACTTGAGATGAAATTAAATTCTAAAATATGAATTTACCGTTCGTAACGTGAACTACAATTACGACGTACTCTCGACATTAGTCTAGGGTAAACTAATAAGAGTCACCAAAATTATTACTTCGTTACTTGATTCAATAATATTATCTCCTTTCCAGGAACAACTTTGTACTTTGTCTAGATTAGGTTACTGTAGGATTGACATGGTCATTCAGTGATCGAACTTCCTTTTACAATAGCATCCCCCGTGACCATGGCTGATACAAAACATCCGAAACGTCGCGTAGTTGAGATAAATTGTAAATAAGTTAATCTAAAGTACATTTTGCGTTTTAAACTGTTCAAAATAATTTTTCCTAATAGGTATTATAATATAAATACAAACAGTTCATATTATTGTAACAGCGCCAGAAGAGTCTTTTCGTTTATTCAACAAAGAAAGAAAAGGCATTTTACAACATTGTTGTCTCTATTTTTACACGGGAGTAGCTATTTCACAAATCGACTCCCTCTTTCTGCGCCATTTACAATTCCTATTTATTTAGATTGCTCTCAAATTCTCATCGAGATCGTTTCCAATTCAGATATTCTGAACGTTGGATCTAATAATATTGTTGGAAATATTTTGCGTTAAATCCATTTTCTTAAGGCGAGTCCATACCGAACATTGGCTGGGATTTCACGATAACGGTAGTAAATATTGCTAAAACTTATATTAAGAATCACACGGTATGTTTTTATAAGAAATTATAACACTAGTTAAGAAGCTATAGCTTTTTCCTATAGTAAAGAGAGAGGAGCTATCTTTGGGAACTTTATTTGTTTTACGTGAAAACCTTATTTACATTTTATTACTTTGGCTAGAATAGCATCACAGAACGCTATGGATGCCAGTATAATATTCGCCCAAGAAATCTTTTTTTTAAATCTAAATTTAATTTAATTTTTATAAGTGCTACCTTTTTTGTAACCACAAGTATATTCTCATAATTCATCGTTTTTAACCAAAACGCAGTATATTCTCTGTGTCCTTTCAAATTGATATGCTGTATCCAAGTACTAACTGTCTGCTTTAACCATGAAGAAAAAATACTTTTGCATTTATAACATTAATACAGTTCCATATATGTATCATAAAATATTCAATGTAATAACGTCCCAACAATTTCAAAACGCCTATTTGAGATTCTGAACTCGAAAAAGATTGTACAATTCGAAGTAGATTCTATGGTACGGTGCTCGAAATGAAAGGCATAAGGAAAACTACAGATGCGCATAAAAATGCCTATGAAATCAGAGCACAGAAGTCTACAAAGGGGAAATTTTCAATTCAGCGCCGCGCCGTGTAAACGCACTTGACACTCCCTGAATGCTGATATCGAATGAATTACGCTGACGGAAATCACTGTTGCATTCTTTCAGAAATGCTCCTATGTACGTTTTAAATGTCGAAACTTTCACGCTTAATAACTTAACCGGCTCGTTAGTCCAACTATAGCTCGATCGTTGTCGTCGATAGTTTGAACCCTACCGGGCCCAACATGTTTTTGATAAATTTATATTTTTTTCTGTAACAAGTTGGACTTCGTCTGTAAACAAAAAATCCGTTTGGGTCACGAGCCAACATCCATACATAAAAAACCCGGGACGTTTAATTGGGTTTCAGTCTGTAGATTTCTGAATATCCAAAGGTAAAATATGTAACGCATCTTGTTCAAATGTATGGCTGAGGCATTTCGCCTTCTATCAAGTGTACCTCATGCTTATCTGATCTCCTCTATCATAAAAAAAAACTTATTCCACGACACAGCTATATTATATACATATTGTAACAGTAAAAGATATGTGTCATAACTTACATTATTCATTCGGTACCCTTGGTTCTAAATATATCCCGCATCGTAAAAGTAAATACGGAATAATTTTCTGCAATAGATGTCAATCTAAAACTTACAATGAATTGTCAATTGTATATCAAAAGGCAATTTAAAATAGCCTAAACCTTACTGACATACATACGTGTTATGTTACTTATAATAATAATTACAAAAGAGTTCAAAAATATCAATAATACGTATATATAGTTCTTAATTCTCTACATAAACGATCTCTGCAAACCATAAACTACATATTAGGAATTTTTCCTTTCTTTTTACATTTATACATATACCTGGATAAAAACTATAGGTCTTAATAATATATTTGTATTAAGATTTCATCCGAAGTCAATGACCAACAATAGAAGTTATTTTCAGCGGAATTTCGCTATGAGGCAGTTATTGTCGTACACAAAGATCTGAACATAAATAACTTAGATCAGCTAAAAGGCCTCAAATCTTGTCATACGGGAGTTAACAGGAACGTCGGATACAAGGTACTTAATTATGCATTTCTTAATTATTATATCGCACGCGTATTAAGTGTTTGATTAAATATCTTATAACAATCCTTTTTTACTAAAAGATGCCAAGACAATGGTAAAAAAGGGTCCTATGTAAAAAACGTAAAATTCAACAAAAGAGAACTTTGGTTACAGAACAGACATGATTTTATTATTAGAAAACCGCAGACCATATTTCCTTTCTTCAAATAAATTCTTTACCCTTGAGAGCATTATAATTTATTGGAGATTGATATTCGCTACACGTCGCAAAAGTAATAAGCTTTGGGTACGCGAATGTTTTATTACTTACGAGATATTTTTTATTATTCCACTAGATACCATTAACGATGCTTATGAAACGAGACATCTTCCCAAGGATGACAGATAGAACGATATCACCGAAAGAGAACGAGTTGCGAGCACTTTCGACGTTCTTTAAGAAATCTTGCATCGTCGGAACATGGTCGCCTGATCCAAAAACAAATTCTGCTTGGAGTAAGTACAATAGTAATAAAAACAGACATATTAATTGCACTAACATAAAAGGAATGATATTCGTTGTATTTTTGCACGCCTCTTCCCACCATAATCAAATTTTGTAAAAACTCTTATAAGTAAATTCAACTCAGTTAGGGTCATTGACTGAATTTTCCTATAACTACTATTAAAGTTGGTAAAAGAAAATATCAAACGAGGCCAGAGCAACAAGTTGTACTTCAAAATAACAAAAGAACCGTTGATGTTGTTTGTAAACAAAATAAGAGGTTTCCACATCAAAGTGATGGAGGATACTTCAAAAAGTTTTTCTCACAAATGAGATGACGGATTTATTCATTAGTCCATTAAAATAACATTATTGCCTAATTGATCTGATGAAATCTTAGACGACATCTCAATGTCGTCTAAGATTTTAGAAAATCGCTATTAGTTATTTATTTTCTAACGTTAAAAGACTTATATGAGCATATTTATTAGCCTAGGTTTAAGTCTTAGGGAAATTAGGAAATTGTTAATGCACGTGGGTCGTTAGAGAAACAAAAGACACGAACACGTTAAGCAGGAAATAATTTGCAGAGGCACAATATAGCCAACTGTGCGCTATGTGTGAGCACCCAGGGAAATGTGATTACCCCGACAACTTCAGCGGTTACGAAGGCGCTTTGAGATGCCTCGCCCACAATGGAGGAGAGGTCGCCTTCACCAAGGTTATCTACGTTCGGAAGTTCTTTGGGGTACGTATTCAATTACACCTCGCTATCTCGCCTTACATTATCAAGACGTAAAGCAATTTAATAATTCCGTGTGACCCGATTGTCGTCTCATTTAAGTATGCTCTTAAAGGACTAAGAAATTCGTAATTTCCGTTCACACTTTACCGCAATTTCTTAATCGAATTACGCAGAATTGCTTTCCCTTTGTTAGTACAAGAAATATTGTTTTAATTTGCAAAGAACCCGACTAAAATTCAAATAATGTGAATTTAAAACATGACATGCTGAAATACAGAACACAAACTACTGAAATTAACTTTAGCCTGGTAAATTTTAGTGTATGCTTTCTAAGCATTACCAACATACCTACAACACAAAAGTCAATAATTATGGGGTGGGAAAATGGAACACAAAATGCCAACATTTTGGCAAAATATTTTCCAAAACTGTTCAGGAAACAACTTGAAAAGGATTTTTGACAAATTGCAATGTTTTCGCTAAATCGATGCAGTAAAACGACTTAAAATAAATTAAGTACATTAGATCGCAATGTAATTATAGCTCCCAGTTGGAACGACCCCCGCCAGCCAATCCCCAGAGAACCCTGACGAGTTCGCATATCTTTGTGTTGATGGGTCTAAAGTGTCAGTTAGAGAAAAGCCCTGCTCCTGGGCCGCGCGACCTTGGCAGGGGTTGTTGGGACATAACGACGTCCTCGCAAAATTGTCGCCACTTAGGGAAAAGATAAAGCAATTGGCCGATGTTGGTAAGTTAATATTCATCATTTTATTTATTGTCTCTTTACCTAATACATAAACCAATGCAAAATTTTAAAAACTATAATATTATCAAATAATACTAATACCAAAATTTAAAAATCGAGGAGTGTAGATGTAGATATTCAAGGTCCTTCTTTGTGCCACTATTTAATGTTTCATGTAAGCTTTACAATAAAGATAGCTATCTATTTTCAACACCAATTAATAAAGTGATGTTGTTTCGCTATATTAATCTCAAGGTGCTAGCTCCAAACCGAAATGGTTCACCGACGTATTGGGTCTGTCCGAAAAAATTCACCACGTAGCCGACAATATACCGATCAAGCCCAGAGATTACTTGCAGAAGGCCAACTACACTGAAGTTATTGAACGTGGTCACGGACCTCCCGAGCCAGTCGTAAGGCAAGTATTGGGTTAATTTTACACTCGTAGAAATGCGTTTTTGTACACTTCATAAAAGATTAGTATAATGTGATATTAAATAACTAGAATTAATAAGTAGTAGGTTGAAATCGTCCGGTAGTTTTCTGCGGACGGTCCAACATAATGTAAAATAGGCAGAATATTACCTTAGTAAAGTATAAATGATTTAGAAGTTAATTGTGATGTAATTAAGAAATGTTTTATATTATGTAGTTAATCCTATATTTTATCAATAGACTTTGTGTGACATCAAACGTTGCACTTGCAAAATGCCGCTCGATGTCCGTATTCGCGTTTAGCAGAGACATAAGGCCGAAATTAGACTGTGTACAAGAATCATCTGATGAAGCATGTTTAAAAAGTGTAAGTTATATTCATTTGATAAACCTAACATATTTTTGGGCGCAAAATATATTCTACGGAAATTACGACGGAATATTTAGTCAAATATTGACTAAATATTCCGTCTTTCGCAAAAGTTTTGAATCGCAAGCTATAAATCTTAAATTAGATAAATAGCAACCCGTTTAACGGTTTAAAACGTAAAATAGAATAGATGCCCGTCCCCCGTGTCCACAGCTGCCGCAAACACGTAATTAAAAATAAGATTTCTAATATATATCGCGTTTAAAACCGTCACAACTGTTTTATTTAAATGTGTATTACTCCCGTAAACTACAAAGACAAGCTACTTTTGGTGTCTAAAATCATTAATAAAGCAGAGAGTAACTCCACTTAAAATACATACTCCTGCATATTAGTGTTGTTGACTATTCAATTATTTTTCAAGGTACAAGACAATGGATCTGACTTAGCCTCTGTAGATGGAATGGGTGTGGCTTCAGCATCGAAAAAATACAATCTTCACCCAGTTTTTCACGAAGTGTACGGCAACAACAAAATACCTAATTATGCCGTTGTTGTGGTAAAAAAGAACACAGCCTATAATAAAATGGACGATCTCAGAGGAAAACGGTTTGTAAATTTATGAAAAGTGTATACCATGTATACACTATATAACTGTGTATTCCATATTATAAAAAAGCATATTAAAGAAACACTTAACAAATATAATTCTTTCTTTTTTAGATCATGCCATAATTCATATGGAACATTTAGTGGATTACAAGCTCCGCTATATTATTTTATAAACAGAAAAATTATTAATTCTGATGAGGTATGTACTATAAATAAAGTAAATATATATTCATACTGTAGAGTAACTATATGAGGAACATGAAATTAATATGTAATGTAAATTACTAACGGTCAACATATAATTTCTTTTTTTAGTGTTATTATAGTTGTAAGAGTGAATAAAAGTCTAGTAAATACTGTTTACGCGAGTAGTACACATTTAAATAAAACACTTTAACGGTTTAAAACGCGATATATTAGTTAAACTTATCTTGTCTCCCCGTGACCACGGCTGCTGCACAGCATCCGAAACGTCGGGCCGAAGTTAAAAATCATTTTCAAATAAGTTTAACTAATATATCGCGTTTTAAACCGTTAAAGTGTTTTATTTAAAAGTATAGTATTTTATAAATAACAGTGTAACTGTACCAAAACCTAAGGCATTTCTTTTTTGTAGTGCGTCAAAAATTTAGGCAACTTCTTCAGTGGATCTTGCCTACCTGGAGTTGATAAAGCAGAAAATAACCCTAGAGGTGAAACCTTACCTATTTTTTTATTATTGGTTGAATCTTAAACTCCTTACATAATATAAACTTAAATGATTATTCACAGGTGATGATGTATCCAAACTGAAGAAACAGTGTTCAGGTGATGGTAATGCCGCCAAATGTATGCAAGAAGACAGGGGTGATGTAGCGTTTGTATCAAGTAAGAAAGAATTTACATACTTGATTTCATGCAATTAATAAAACTTTAATCAATAATGTTTGAATTGGTTATCATAAGCAATACTTAAGTTTAATCTATATTATATATGTTTTATATATATTTCAGGTGCAGATTTATCCAACTTCGATTCATCCCAATATGAACTACTCTGTCTGAACAAAGATAATGGAGGCAGGGATAGTCTAAGCAACTTTGCTTCATGCCATATAACAATGGAGCCATCTAGAACTTGGCTTTCATCTAAAGATTTCTTATCTGATGTGTCTATTGCACACACACCACTAAGTTTAGCCCAGCTACTAGACACTAGATCAGATCTTTTCAACATATATGGAGAATTCTTAAAAAATAACAATATAATTTTTAATGTAAGTTATGAAATATTTTTATTTTGCTATATATTATAAAAGTTTGCATTCTTAATATGTATATTTTTTTACAGAATGCAGCCAAAGGTCTTGCTACAACAGAAAAATTAGACTTTGAAAAATTCAAAACAATCCATGATGTTTTGAACAACTGTGGTGTTGCATAATTGCCCAATTTTATATAACTTTAAATAAAAAAAAACAAAATGTTGAATTGAAACAAAATTTATTACATCACAAATAAATAATACTCAAAATACAATAAGTCTATTAAATTACTTACAAGGCTGCTAAAAATATGGTGATTGCTACTGCTCCGGCTAACATTGCATATCCTGTAGAATATACTTCTTTAATTGTGAGTCCTTTAGCTGTGTCCCAATATAGATGCCTCATTCCATTAGCAAAGTGGTAACCAAATGGTGCAGCTAACATGGCTTTGGCAAGGAATATAGTCGCAGGAGACAGATTCAATCCCTCAATCATTGTCACATAATGGGCCACATCATGGGGCAAAACTAATGCACCGACACCCAAGGCAGTTATATACCCTGATAATAGCATACCTAAAAAGATTTTTTAAGTGAAGGAAAAGCCATTTTCTGTAGAATATAAATAAAAGATCCAGACAACCTGTACAGTTTAATTTGATACCTATGGTTGCATTTTCATGAAAGATAGAATTTTATGTATGCCAGTAAAATCTTAAACATTAAACTCACTGAAAAACTCTCTGTTTGTAGGCAATGAACCAAGTCCACCATGCTAGACTAAACTACCATGCATCCATTACACTAAATAATATTTAGTGTAATGGATGCTTAGAACTTAGACTTAGAAATAGTTAAAAACTTATAATAAAATTTATAAATGATTAAAAAAAAATAAGTACTGCAATAAAGTCTTACCTGCAGCCCTGTGTGTCACAGATAGAAGACTGGTGAGTTGGGGTTTATAGATCGTAAGATGTGGGGACATCGGTCGTTGGAGTCGCGCATTTTTGTCATCATAAGGCTCTACTTTTGGTTCTTCATATTGCTTGAAGGTTATTTTCGGCACTGCAGCAGATTGGGCATATTGCGCTGTTCTTATTACAGTGTTAAACTTGGTTAAGGTGCCCATTACCGATTTATTGCTTAATCTAAAACAACAAACAGGTTACTGAATATAATATGGAGCATAAATAACGAATGTTACATAATATTTTAGAAATGAGAACTGACATACCTGGCACAGCAATAGAAAGCCATGTTGAATTCTTTACAACGCCAAAATATTGCAATTTTATTAGTTTTAGTGTTTATGAACCTAGGAAGATATTAACAATGTTTTTAATTTAGTTCTACTTATGAAGTACTGGTTTGGATTTGACGTGTCAGTCCAAGTGTTAATGTCAAGCTGACAGATTAAAAGCGACACAAAGCGGAATATTCAATTTAATGATTTCGACTTGTTACGTCTTTATAATTGTATATGGTATTTATAGCATATTATATTACATATTTAGGTATTATTGCTTACTGATACTCCTTGTAAATTCGGTGTGCTAATTAATTTAAGAATTACGTTGACAGTCTGCGACTAAACGTCATTTGCCAGGTGGATACGAAATAATTCGAAGTTTCAATTTAATTTTCTTTGATTTGATAAACAACAAATCGGTTTGTTTGGAAGGACGAAACATAAAAAGTATACAAAATACGTCCAACGTAAAACCAAAAATAATACTGTCCTAATCAATGCTCCGTTTATTACTCTTGACAACACTTGCAAGCAGTATTAAAGTTAGTCACTGCACAGCTACCATCTCTTCAATGGCTTTAAAAAGTGTTGACTTTGAAGTTTTTGGTCGAGTGCAAGGTGTCTTTTTTCGTAAGGTAAATTGCCCTTATCATTGTTATATAATTTAAAACATACCAAGCACTAAATACGTAGTACCCATGCTGTCTCCAAATAAACAACGCCTTATACATATACGTAACTGGTTGCAGTATACAAAACAACAAGCAGATAAACTTGGATTAAGAGGATGGTGTATGAACACATCTCGGGGTACTGTACAAGGACAGATGCAGGGTCCTTCAGATAAAGTAGATTCCATGTAAGAATTGGGCTTCATTATTATTACACATACAGTATCTTTCTTTATTGATGAACTTTATAGATACTAACTACTCCTACTAATATACACATTTTAATAGATTTTATTAAAGCCCTTAATAAATCATGGCATTACTAAGACATGAGTAAAAATAAGGAAACATTTTATAATATATAATATGAAATGGAGTGTTTAAATAAATAAGTGCTCTAAATAAAGTGATTTAAAGCTTTGCTCACCAACTAATAAATATCATAATATTTGATTTTTGTGGAATAAACTTGAAAAACCTGTAACTACTTTGACTTTTACCGTTGCAGTCCTTGCGGAAGTTAAAATAGAGATGACATTCAATCTTTACACTGTTTGTTCTAGTATATACCTATGTAGTTTTCTTAAAATATTTTTATTATCTAAAGTGTAAGACTAGTTAGGTAATTAGAGAAAGAAAAAGAGTAAGTAGATGTTGAACTATATTGCTACAATGGGGATTTACACCCAAGGTTTGTTGTGCTTAACAGGGTTGATTTAACAAATGGGATGAAGTATTCATTAATGCTTTAATAAACAGAAATGAATAATGTTTAGGTAAGGTGTTTAGGCCTTTGCACTTACTATTTTATTTAAATAATTAATTTAGTTTTACTATGTGTACTTTATTTGTTTGTGCAATAAAGTGTTTTATTATTATTATTATTAAAATTCAAATATAGAAAGCCAAAGTAGATGGAAAGTACTATTTTATTAGATTTCATTACTGGGTCAGTTATATTTTCAACTAGCAGACTGCTAGTTTTTCTGGCCTCTGTAAAAAATTTTGGGCAATTCTCTTATTACCGACTACCGTTGGTTTTACTTTTAAATCAAGCTTTAATTAATGATATCATTAAAATCATTTAATTAAGACGTAATACATACGAATTACGAGAAACGTCCAAGACCCTCACTTTATCAGCAAGGGCACGGTGTAACATTAGACGACGGGCACACCCCTGCTAGCACTTTCATTATGAAAAAGGTCTTTAATGTGAAACATTACTTGACGGTCCAAGGTCTCGTGAGGGCCACTCAGGAATTCTCGCCTGAATACGTCTCGTTTAGAAACGTAAGATCACACAGCTAATGTTAATGAGGCGTTCTAATGAACTTTTATGGCCTTGAACTACGTAATTTGCAATGTCTTTGTAATATCTTTGCTATTTTAAGTGTAACTTAAAGGATAATATAGAAAGTTATTTAACATTTATTACATTGTATGACAACTTACTTTAAATACTGCCTATAGTTCACGCGAGTAGTACACATTTAAAGAAAACACTAACCGTTGTGACTAGAAAAAAAACCTTATATATATTATACTAAAAGCTTGACTACCTACTAACACATCAATACAACACTAACGGTTTAAAACGCGATATATATTAGTTAACTTGTTTGAAAATTATTTTGATCCGGTCCGACGATTCGGATGCTTTGCTGAAGCCGTGGTCAAAAAAACGTCGGCCCGAGTTGAAATAATTTTTAAACAAGTTTAACCAATATATATCGCGTTTTAAACATTTAAAGTCTTTGCTTAAACTTACATTAAATTTATAGCTATACTATATTAATATTATAAAGCTGAATAGTTTGTCTACGCCCTAATATCCGAAACTACTGGTTCGATTTGAAAAAAAATATGCTGGTTAGACCATTCTTCAAGGAAGTTGTTAGGCTATAAAACATCATCCTGCGATAAAATATGAAGACGAAGAAACAGTAGGAAAAAAACGTAAACATTAACCACGTTTGAGAAATTCCGTTTCGTTTCGCTGCGAAAACGGTTCTAAATGTCGACAAAAAAAATACACTGTTGAAAATTTTTAAATATTTTTCACAACTTATTGCTCATGAAGGCATTGTATAATTTAAAAATAGAAAATAAATTGAAAACATTTTCGACTCGGACTTGAACCGCCGGCATCGTCAGCGTTCCGTGCTGTTGCTCTACCAATTGAGCTCCAATCGAAAATAAATTATATAATAAATTTATTTTCGATTTTTAAAATGTATGAACGGGTAATTACATAAAACGGCTCCTTGAAATAATCTAAATTCTAAAACATGTCCACGACAGTATATCTTTATCTCTTAAGATGAACTCACAAGAACCATTTTTATCGCAATCAAGCGATTGCCAAGTCAGCTAGTATTACAATAATTAAAGAGATTTTCTTACTTTCAGGATGCAATGGCTAAAAACAACAGGTAGTCCCAGTAGCAAAATTGATAAAGCCGAATTCACACATAATAAGGATCTGTCGGATTATACTTTTCAAAGTTTTGATATTCGTCGCGACGATTAAGCTCTTCTCCAGCTACCTTATTTAATTAGTAACTCTCGTGATATTAGTTATGTATGCATATGTTATCAATACAGTATTTAATTTATTAATGACTATAAATTGAGATTTAAACTGTTGTTTTATTTTTTGTCGCACCGCTTCGGAATTACTGTATAATGGTGTCTCGGTATGCAAGTGCCCTGGTACGTACTTATTGTATCTATACAAAAATATTTTGGTATATGTCTTTTTTGTTATTAATCGGAAAATAAGATTTGAGCGTAGTGTCTTTGTAATTTGAATCAATTTATTCGTGGATCTTAATGATTAAAAATGCGTTGTAAACAAAGCGAAGGTTTCAGCGTACAATTCATTAGAATTTTCAGCGCTCTTATTAAATATTTTCCGGTAAAGTATGAATCTTTTTCCCATTTGAGCTAGTAAATTTAAACTACTCATTATTTTATTTGGCCCAGTTTCTGAAGTGCGTCATACTTTTCTGAATGTAATTTTCTTTCATTGAATGATACGGATGTGTTTCAAATCTTTTATATTTTTTTATGTATACTTGAGTTAAGCCACAAAAAGTAATCTAGATTTGACCGATATACGAACCAATTGGTACTTTCATAAGAATAGAAAAATACGATTTTCAAATATTCTTTATTTTATAACATTTAATTCCAACTGAACAACTTTTACATGCGTTATTAACAATCCTCCGCTTACCTGAAACTACATTACTAATTCAATGGGTTATCTAAATATTTACATTGCGTCTCTATAAAACATTGATGTTATTTAAAAACAATAAATATAACAGTATTTTTAGAAACAGTGTTTTCTACATATCTCTAAGAAGATATCGTAGGTTTATGTAAACTTCCGATAAATGTCCCAGTTCATTTAATTTCTATAAATGCTAAGTTCATTACGTAAACAAAAGTGTTAACTTATAAAACTTGAAGAAGAGGGAATATTAGAGCATCTGTTAGCTAACAATAGACTTCGACCTTGAAGGATTTCGGGAGTTCTGAAGGGGTAGGAAATAATTACGTCCGAGTCAGTAACCCGGGCGTGCGTTATTGATGGGCGGGCGGCGGTCGGTAAGTGGGTCAGGAGGGGCGCGCAGCCGCGGCATTGCGTTCTCAGCCTCCAGCCATGGCGGACGTGCCGCCCGAGGTCCTCGAGCTCAACGTAGGCGGCGTGCACTATGCCACTACACGTGATACTCTGTTGCGCGAACCTGACTCGCTGCCGGCTTCCGCGCTGAGCGATCCGGATCATCCGCGCGACGCTCGCGGACGCATCTTCTTCGATCGGGACGGCGTTCTCTTCCGATACGTGCTCGACTACCTCCGCGACGGCGGGCTCGTCCTACCTGAATGTTTTCGTGAACACAAACGGCTCACGCGGGAAGCTAAGCACTATAGATTGCCCGGACTCGAAAACGCTGTGAAGGAAGCGGATCCTCGACCTCCCAACCGGGAACGTGGCTGCATCACGGTGGGATACCGGGGCAGTTTTGCTTTCGGCCGGGATGGTCTGGCCGATGTCAAGTTTAGAAAACTATCCCGTATTTTAGTATGCGGTAAGGTGACGTTATGTCGGGATGTATTTGGAGAAACATTGAATGAATCGAGAGATCCCGATCACGGTTTAGCAGACAGGTATACATCTCGATTCTTCTTGAAACATTCATTTATAGAGCAAGCTTTCGATATGCTTCAAGAGCAAGGATTCAAGTTGACGGCGAGCTGCGGTAGCGGTACGGCTGGAGGTGCTGCAGAGTTAAAACCTGGGGTAGATTCGGAGGAAAATCGCTGGAATCATTACAACGAATTTGTTTTTGTACGCGAATAGGTCATGAACTCCGTTGTTTGTGTATACTAAGTGAGCATTTCGTGTTGGTAACATAATATTCCCTCGCGAGTACGTATTTGTTGTAAATCTTTCTAGGGAGCGTCTCAAAAGAGTAAGGAATACCGATAGAGCACGTATTTCTAATTAGAGAAATTTAAGATAAAAATTTATGACGTTCATAAAATGTTTTACTAGGTTTAGACTGTAGATAAAAAAATATTATCAAATAGTTGTGTAAAATAATGTGTAAACTTGTAATAGATCTAAATGTAAAATTTTAAAACTTTTTAGATCACATTGAATAATTATTTTATCACAAGTATTTTCAATACTTCCTTTTGAATTGAATTGAATTTGAAGGAAAAATAAATGCCAAATTATTTGACACCCTATTTATAAGTGTTTAGAAATAAAAATAAATGATTATTTTATGTGATTGCATATATTCTTCTACTCGTTGAACATATAACATATACCAGTAGTAACTAAGTTACTTTTTTTTAAATTTTATCTTAAAATAAGACACTAATCCTGTGTTGTGATTGATAATTCTTGAACAATATTTTGTAGATAATAATTAAAATATCAGATTTTCAAAGTGTATTATCTAAATTGTAAAAAAGATGCGCGACAAATGTACCTTAATAAAATAGTTGGATCTTAAATATGTAATAGTTGAATAAAAATATGTATTGGATCAGAACTTAGAGAAATATTTCTATGACTCTTCCACGACTTCAATATACAATAAAATAATCTTGTATGTTGGTGTTTTTTTTTACTGGAAATTTTAATATGTCTTGATTGGATTTTAAGAATTGTTCCTTAAGTAATTTAACTCCGGTTTATTACTTGGGAAAAAATAAAATAATCTCAAAGACTATTGCTTTATTACGAAGGACCTATTTATAATTTTAAAAATAACTGTCTACCCAAAATCAATGAGACTAGTTTTAAAAACCTAAAAACAAAGTTCTACAAATATTTCTTGTCTAAAATCTATTAGTTTCTTTTTAATACTTATTATAATATTGTGTAAAAAATAAAGCCGCTGGACACGCACACTATAAGATAATTAATTTCAACGACCTGACATTACGGATGATATTTTTATTACTTATTATTTTTTTATTGATTAGTTAGACACGTGATTATTCGTGTATAAGATTGTTTTAAAGCATCAACTTGTACAAAAACAAATTAGGTACTTCTTTTTTGTGTAACAATAGGTAGGATGATTATAATTAAAATAACGGTTCACTTTAAGTACAGTTTTATTTTTTCCTACATCTAAATACATACAAGATTCTTTTGTGAAATTTGTTATTTTATGGAAATATATATTGTTTTAATGAAATTGTTTTATTACCGTGTTCTCGTCTCGTTAAGAAGTCGAAGATAATAAGAATAAAATATAGAAAACCTTTAAAGCACAACCTTGGTTTGGTTTGAATAAGAAAAGAAAATTAAAAATTAATTTAGGTGCATTTTAATATAGCTACCAGCTATTTTATAATAGGCATACATTTTGTTTTTAAAACACAGAACTAGGTCGATATAATATTATTGCCTTATGCCTAACTAATAAAAAATTAATGTTTAATAAAAGTTCTTTAAAATTTAAAGATGTATTTAAGTTCAGAAGAATTATAGGCCGCTGCTTTAATGAGTACTATGTGAGTAAATTATAATGCAATTAACAATTTTGTTAAATCGCGGAAAAAGTGGTTCAACTAACTCCATCTAGTGATGAATAGTATCAGTATAACATTTATTTGTACATGGTTGATACTATCGGTTAAATTATAAGCCATAACAGTTTTACTACTTGTCAATAGATGGACAACTCATGACTTATTCTTAAACACCTAATATATTGAAACAAAATTTAAATTTTTATTTCATATTTTATTGTTTAAAAATATTATTCTTATAATATCTTAATTCATCTATGCTCTCCAGAATATCATCCATACTACGATGTGAAAACTTTTTCTCTGGTATATTAGAGTACTCCTTAGGGTGCCACCGTTTAACTATTTCCTTAACGGAGCTCACATCAATTATCCTATAATGAAGATATTGATCAATTCGAGGCATATATTTTCTTAAAAAAAGACGATCCATATAAACACTATTGCCCCCCAGTGGACACCGTTTTTCAGGTACATGCTGAGTAATGAAGTTTAATACTTGGTCTTCAGCTTCTTTTAAGCTTATTCTTGATTCACGGCTTGCTTTAGTAAGGCCACTCTAAAATTATATATAACAAGTTAAGTAAATACAAATAAAACATGTATCTAGTATATTTATGACACTAAATAAATTCAATGCAAAATTTACATTTGAAAATTACCATTTACACAAAATTTTATTATAAGTCTTTAAACAAAAGGATTGAAAGGTGTAAGTAGATATGGTGCAGTAAAATAAATAAATTTTAGAGTAAATAACCTATATAATAGTATACCTCACCGTGATGATTGGAACACCATTCTCCCATAGCATTTAAAACATGATCAGGCTGACGTATTACTATATCAGGGCCCATAGCTACTACATTAAGTTCAGCATCACTGACTAAACAAGCAATCTCCAAGATTTGATCCTTCTCAATGTCCAAACCAGTCATTTCCAAATCACACCACACTATCCTATTAGCTTCATTTTTCAGATGAGTGTTAGCCGTCTGCATTTTGGGAGTTCGTTTTGCTGAAATTAGAAATGAATACAATCAAAATCACGCACGTGTTCACAGTCAATGCCCTATTACGAAAATCAATAGAAGCTCAAAACTATTGTACGCTTGTAAGGTCGAGTCAGTGTTAAACTCACCATTTCGTATAAATACAGTACCTACCAAATTCTTTAAATTAGTGCAAGTTTTTTTCATTAAAATGTTCATTTTGTTGTGTAATAATTATCTTTTTTAATACGAAAACAAATTGATATAATTTTAGATTATAATATATATGTAATATGTATAATGTCAAACTTAACCACAGATTGTTTTACTGTGATTTTTCAAATACAGATAAGTAATGCTAAGTATAGCCTATTGCTATTTTATCAATAAAATAGTTGTATAGTCTACATAACTTCTAGTTTGTCATGGTGCCTAAAGGTTGAATTTGTTTTTAATTTTCGTAATTTTTCATATTTATAAATAAGTAATCTTTAATAGCGAAGATGAACAGATTATTAATGAATCATTGTCGCTGCGTGAAAAAATCTAGTAAGTATACGTTAAATATATTATACTTAATAAATTTCTATAACCTTTCATATGATTGATTACACCATGTCTAAAACAATGTTTATAGACTTGGGATTGCGGTTGTATTATCTTGTTTTAGAAACTTGAAATTAAATAAAGCTTATAAGGAGAACTAGGCAACAGTAAACTGATTGAAAAATTGGTTGCCAAAAGACATTTTTATACTAAATGAATTATTTTTCTTTATTCAGTAGACTTACTTAAGATTTCAAATTAATTGTTGTATGGTAAGCTCATACAATGTTAAGTTGGATGAACACAAATTCGCAAAATGTATTTAATATTTTGATAATATTTACTGAAATTTTATATTTCAAAATAATTGAAAGTTATACTTTATTCTACATTATTCCTTTCAGCTCTACTATGGGAGGCCAGACAATATCAAAATATTCCATATATAACTCTTTCAAGGTCATTGTGCTATTACACAACTCAGCCCTTAAGACTACAGCATGATGTCACTCAAAAACCATTGAATTCCACAATTTATTCACCATTTTATTTACGACATCTATCTACAAGCAATTACTACTTCGAAAAAGAACCTTTAAAACCCTCATCTAAAGTTGAGACTACAGTGGTAACAATAAAAAAGGGCATTGAGGAAAAGGAAAAGTTGCCAAAGAAGCAGGAACCAAAAAAGAGTTTAAAAGAAAGGTTTATGGCTGAATTGAGACACTACTATCATGGTTTTAGGTTATTATTTATTGAGGTGCGAATTTCAGCAAGTCTACTTTTTAAAATTCTTAGAGGTAAATCCTTAACTAGAAGAGAACACAGGCTGCTTGTTACAACTATTGGAGATCTATTTAGAATGGTGCCATTCATAGTTTTTATTGCAGTGCCATTTCTTGAATTTGCACTACCCCTCTTTATTAAACTATTCCCAAACATGTTGCCATCAACATTTGAAAGCACTAGCCAAAAGGAAGCTAAATTAAAACAGCATTTAAAAGTGAAACTGGAGATGGCTAAATTCTTCCAAGAAACATTAGATCAAATGGCACCACAAGCAGGTAATAGACACTCTGAGTTAGCCAAAGAGTTCTCAACATTCTTTACCAAAATAAGAACTTCAGGAGATGTAGCTACAAGTGAAGAAATTATGAAGTTTTCAAAACTATTTGAGGATGAAATAACTTTGGATTCATTGCAGCGGCCACACCTTGTTGCCCTGTGTAAAGTTTTGAATGTGTCAACAATTGGCACAAGTGCAATGTTACGGTTCAATTTGAGAATGAAGTTGCGATCCCTGTCTGCAGATGATAAAATGATAGCGAAAGAAGGTGTTGATAGTTTGAATTTCAGTGAATTGCAACAAGCTTGTAGAGCTAGAGGTATGCGCGCGTACGGAGTATCGGAGGAGCGCTTACGGAAGGAATTAAAAAACTGGTTGGATTTATCCTTGAATGAAAGGGTCCCACCATCACTCTTACTGCTCTCTAGGGCGCTCATGGTGCCGGAACATGTACCTACCACATATAAATTAAAAGCCACTATTTCAGCCTTACCAGAATATGTTGTTATGCAAACTAAAGCTGCCATTGGAGAGAAAGAAGGAAAAGTTGATTTCAAGGTAAAATACCAAATGATTTATGAACTATTAAAATAGTGTTTTATCGCTGCCTTGTCATACCCAACTCTATCAAAACCATTTGATTGAAACACTTTTTATATAATTTTCAGACCAAAATGGAAGTTATTAAACTTGAGGAGTTGAAAATTAAGGAAGAAAACAAGGAATTACTTGAAGCTGAAAGAGAAAAACAATTGCTTGAGAGTAAGAAACGTCAAAAGGAAGAACTTAAAGACAAGGCGCCTATACTTCAAGACATTGATTCTGTTTTGGTTGACCCAGCACCAGTGATTGCGGTCGATCCACCGAAACCTAAAACTGAAGATGGGCTCTCTACAAAAGATATTGAAGTTATTGAAGATGCTTTGGAGAAATTAGGTAAGTTTTGGACTTTGAAATTTACAAGAGAGAATTATGTGATGTGATGTATTTACTTTTCTAGACATCTTAATGTTACTAAAGATTGGCACAGTGCCAAAATGGAGTGGTCAAGGTAGTTCAGAAGTGAATGAATTGTACTTAAAAATAATATTTAGTTGAATGTTCTAATTCTAAGAAATAAGGTCATTGGCACTAGTTCGGCTACAAATTTTCCTACTGTTCAATCAGTAAATTGGATGTGGGTAATTAGGTAATATTGCTTTCAAATTTCTAGCTGAACAAAGAAAGTCCTTACTTCTGGAGAAGGAAAGTATTCAAGAACTGAAAACTGAGTTATTAGACTACAGTGAAGATGTCAAAGAAATGGATGAGTTTGTCAAGAGCAAACAGGCCGACATAAAGCTTACTAAGGGAGCAAGAAGGTTAGTATACTCTAAGAATAAACCAACCACTTTTATTGCTTCTAATATGTAATGAAAAATATCAATGAGTTAGTTGGTGATATCATTAGCACATTGTTATAACTAAAACTGCCGAAAATCTATGAATAAAATTTGTCCCAGTCTTTATAACATTTTCAATACAACTATGAAGCGAAAAATTATATTGGTTAGTAAAAATAACTGAATATAAATATGTTTTTTTTTATATTGTATATGGAAAAAAATTCCACAAGCACTTATGATCAGAAATCATTTATCACTTTATAAAGATAAGACAACTCGCTCTTTTTATAATAGACATGCATATGTATAAATCGTATCTCCTTTAACCTTGACTGTCACGTGATTCAGTGAACCTTTGTCCTAAATAATGGGGGTATTATATATATATAATGCCTATATGTGTGTGTGTACTGAATATATTTAGTTTTATCGCTACAATATATAAAACTAAAAAACTAAGGGAACAATAAAATTGGACTTAGAAATGACGAAACAATGAAGTTTCCATTGAATTGCGTCATCCGAACAAATGAGCCGGTTCAGACACGCGTAAAAAATCTTTTGTTTTTTATTTATTGCTTTTAAGAAATCATCTGGTAACGCTTACAAATAAACTAATAATATGTTGTGAGGTTTGCGTAAAAGTTTTTTTTTAATATAACAGGTATTATTTTAAATTTTAATTAATAATTATTTTATTACAATAAATAGATTATCAACATCCGACGCGTGGTTAAGCTGGATTGTCGTTAGAAAGAAAAATATTAATAATTTATTCTTGTTTTTACTTGAGGAAACTTTTTAACTAATATCTATTTTAAATAAATCCTTTTAGACTGTACCGTGCCGTAAACAACATGATAAGCAAACTGGATGCTGCCCTAGTAGAACTAGAAAACAAAGAAAAAGCACTCAAAAACACGCTCGAACAGACGAAATCCGAACCACAGAAGGCCAAGGAGCAATTGATTCAGATCGACGAGCTCATGCATTCCATTAAGAGCCTTCAGAAGGTCCCTGATGAAGCTAAACTGAAGTTGATACAAGATGTTCTAGGAAGATTAGACGACGACTTCGATGGACAGTTGAAGATTGATGATGTTTTGAAGGTGACATATATTTTTGATTATTGCTTTCAATCGCCCCGTCAAGGCAAATTAGGACATCTAGTAATACAATAAACTATTCTATCTTTTTTATTCAATATTAAATTAAGTTCTAATAATAATTTCTTTGTTAATTATGTTGTATGTCTAGTTTATCAATATTATTACTTTAAGTACTTAATTTTTCCATTAAGTAACATCCTTGGGTTGGGACAGCTGTTTTAATGTGGAGTTTAGTTTCGTGTAATATTACATTGTTATCACGAGGTAATATCGCCAGACCACGAGGTAGCGTCTGTAAACAAACACGACTTATCATTCGATACCATGCCGCTGTGCCAAGGTCGACTCAAATTGCATATCTACACGACTTTACGGCTTATCTTATATAGTACAAAGTATATTGGGTAGGAACTTAACAAGATTAGGACAGGTGCTATAATAACACAAATATTATAACCATTTTTAAATGCTACCACTGGTTCTGTCAATATTTTTAATAGTCAGTGATAGATGTCATGATACACATAAATATGATAAGAAGGAAATACAAAGGAACAATGGTCTACATTATATATATAAACAAATAAAATACCACATAGTTTTGTTAATATGGAATATTTGTAGGAACAGTATATTGTTGACATGATTTTACTATTACAAATTGTATGTTATACATATACATACATATTTAATTATTTAGAAATTGTTCTGCTTCATAAACAGCCATAATTATACCCCAAATATAGTTACTTTCCATTTTTTGCCTAATGTCAGTATTAGTTTGCTTATATTTCGTCAAAATACCCTTTAACTTTCAGATGCTAGAAATAATTGGAAACGAGAACGTGAATCTGTCGGAAAAGCAGATGGCTGAGTTGATTGAACTTCTTGATAAGGAGGAAATTCTGGAAGTGGAGAGCAAGATCCAGCGGGCGCTTGACAAGGCGGCTAGCGCGGCTAAAGAACAGGACAAAAGCAGCGAGTCAGAGGGAAAGGTATGCTGTTTAAATATTATTCCCCACATCGTTATTTCTTAACAACCAGAGCCGCATGTCATATGATTGAGAAAGAGTACAAAAATCACTTGTAAGAACAACGCTAACCGTTTTTAAGTTGCATGACATAAACAATCAAAATGGCACCCAAATGACTAGCAGGTTTGGGTCACAATACGCTTGTTTACAAAATATTCCACCTTTGTTTTTCTTTATAGGCATTCCGAGTTAAGTTGAGTTATCGCGGTTTTTGGCTATGGCAATGGTAAAATGTATTGGAATGTTGCAACATTTTAAATTAAACCAATGAGAATTACATAGTTCGAAGTTTGCTTTGTAACAGTAAAAATATTTTAATTCTTTGTTTTATATAGTACATTTTGGCCTCATTCTAGTTTAATCGTAAAATAGATATTGCAAGCAGACTTGAAATCAGTACTTTCATATATGTATACAATACTCCATTTATTAAAGTGTCATTATTTTAGACTTTGTATGTTTACTTATATTTAAATAATATTTTATGTTAGTATTTACGCTCGATTTCGATTGGTGGACATATAAGCTACAACTCTTTTATTACTATTTTCAGAGCCTCTTCGATTTGATAAGAGAAGCGCAGCGGCGACGCGTAATGCGGAAAGAGGCCGAAAAATTAGAAGGACAGCCACCGCTACCAAAGAGTGATAAACCGGAAGATGGAAAACGGCCAGAAAGCCACTAATTTATAGATGATGATACTCGCTAGAGGGCTCTGTTAAGAAATTCTTCAACACAGTATCGTTTTAATTGTTGCTCACAAATAAGACACTAGCCAGTTTGATGTCTTTCAAATTGAAAATAGAGACTGGATCTATCTACCAATGTGGTTACATAACAGCTATTCCATGATGAATATATACACGATACATGATTAATACAGAACCTTGTCACTAGTTAAAATTGTCTGCTGCAAACTCTAGTGAGTATATCAACATGTAAATATTATATATGTACTTATGTACGATTGTAGTATAAAAGTTCAAGTTACTGTTGGGAATCTTGTCTTGAAAAGCGAATAGTTGTAAATAAAGATTTTGTTGAGTTATAATATTCCAAAGCATCCCCTCTAAGAATGCTCTGTTGGTCGAAATGATGGATGGGATATTACGTATGTACTTTTTATTACAGAAGATACTTCTCAGTGTTATAGTACACTTCTGCACAAATGTGTTTAAAAAAATTCTCTGAACTTTACAGTGATATTGCGGCATAGATATCTATATCTGTGTCCTTATCAGTATCAATGCCATCGGTATTGTTAATTTACTTACAGCCTATGAAATAATACTTAGAAAGGATGGTCACTCACCAAGATCCGTGTCTTCTGCTATAGAAAGTACGGTTACAATTATGACAATACATTTCTGTACACATGATTTATATAACATTGTCTCTTAAATTAAATCGGGTTATATTTATAATGTTTTATAGGATAGAAGAACTTGATTTAAAAGCATGTTTAATATGTATACATTTTGATGAGCACAATTTCACACAATCTTACTAAATTATATAAGTATGCGTTAGAAATATATACCATAAATCAGAAACTTCAACACTGAAAGCATGGTGCAGAACTGTACCTTCGATCGAGTCTTACAGCCTTTTGTTAACGTTTAATATTCAATTAAACTTAAATAGGTTTTATTTATCTTTTATGTTTAACTTAGTTAATGGTGGTGATGTGTGTACATTGTACAACTATTCCGGTTCCGTACAAATTGTATTTTAATTTTAGTCTATGGCTCTGTTTGTTTTTTTTGCTTGGAGATTTTATTTTGTTATTACTATCTGTGATCGCTTTTCAGTAGGTTTTGTTTTGATTCAGAGTTGTTAGCACAAACGATTTTCATACCACCAGTGTTCTCCTCATTTAACCTGGGACGTGTGAAGTATTACTTAGTATTGATGCTAAGTTCGTGATATACAACTATTTCCAACATGGTAAAAGTTATTGAAATCATAATACTTTGCATATGATGCACTTTAAAGAATCTTACCATTGTAAAATATTTATCAAAAGTATTATTTAACATGTATTTTACATTATATGTAAAATTGTTTTATACAATACATAACTATAACACGATTCACGCTGAAAGGCTGTAACCTTATAAGAAAATAAAAATGTCGTAAGATTATGTTTAGTTTCATTTTAATTTGTTCTAAGTCTTTGTTTCGTCGTCTATTTTATACAATTAATCTTCCTTTTTAGTTAATATCTAAATAAGAAGCCATAGAATTCCTGGGTTTAACCCTTAAGACAGTAAAATGTCTATTTTGTATGTCAAAACCACTAAATACATAGCTCCAAGTTGCTATATTATATCATCGACATACTTCGAGCAACGTTTGGTTCAATTACCAATGTTCGAACGAATGTATCGTTACGATAACTACTATCGTAAGTCAACAGATATTCCTTGAGTCCCCATCGAATCAATTTATTTTCTTTTTACTCAAAATCTAACCATATTTGTACATGAAATGCATCTGCAGTTTTAAATTTCCCGGAAAAGCAAAACGCGCGAAAATCGTTACTAAAGCACACAATTTTATTGGTCGTCTACAACATTCACGACCAATAGGCAACAAGACACACATATAGACGAATCACGTTTCTGGAAACATGTAATCTCATAACCACGGGCTCTCAGTCCGCCATCTTTGATAAATTCGAAAATCGAAGACATGTCATTGGTCGACACAGAGACGTCACACAAGTCTTTTGACGGCGTTGCGCAAATTATAATTTTTGACTCTCACTTATCGCGGCTGCCATGTTTTTTTTAATGTGGGGTGTGTGTGTTTAGAAATTATCATGATAATCTCCCCATATAAACTACTAAGGGTAAGTTTGATTGTTCCTTTCATTACTTAAGGGTCTTCTATCTAAGTCAGGAAGTGCTCGTCCTCAGTGAAAGTGGCTATTGTATCATGTAATATTGTCGTGTATTGCCTTGTGAAATTGCAGTTTGTGTCGCGATTCCTAAGTTAATCTGCTAACAGATGAATACGCAGCTTTTATTTACATGGCAATCGGTTAAGTTTTATTTCAAACAATAATTTAGGCGGTCGAATCAGCGTATAGTGAATATTTCTCTCATGCAATGTTGCATGAATGACGTTCATTTGGCGCCATCGACCCATTTAGCACGGCGGGGCGGGTGTAGGTTTCTTTAAAATTCTTTGTGCCCTTGCAAACCAAAATGATAATTAAAACGAAAACAACACGTGACACAGTTGTAAATAAATAGCCTGTTATGTTTCAGAAGTAAGGGGTTCACGAAGTGCGTCATTCGTTCATCGCTAGTGACAATGCGATTGTACAAAGTTTGTTAAAAGTGACCACTTGTACAAAACTCGAACACTAGCAAAGAAAAGGCCAAAGACATAAGCATGCATTAATAATAAGACGGAAATATTGAGGATCGATAAAAACACACGGCCCACGGCAATTGAAAATGGACACTGGATTTTTGAGCAAGATGATTGAATTTAATGGCAACTTAGAGTACTTTTGGCAGAATGCGTAAAAACAAGAGAGGAAGCCAGGCCCAAGCCTGCTGGCCTGCAACTTCAAAAGAACTACACCTCATCCCACTTCCTATCTGATATCTCTCCAGGTAGGTGTTAATATTCACTTACTTCATATGAGTATTATCAGTGGTGCTCTAATGCACTGAAATTAGTAGTATTTAGTGTCTTAGTGAAACAATTTTTTATAGTAAAGGCTAATAAATAACATCTAAAATGTTAAGTATTCATGCACTAGTGTAATCTTCTATTATATTAGTACTGTTATTTGTTTATCAAATATTTTTGACAAATAAAAACTACCATTGTGTCAACAATTAAAAGTATACAATATTTTATGGGAAGGTCAAATGGGTTATTACTGATGATATAAAGAATAAGAATCTGAAACAATATAATAATAAATCTGAATTACCCTTGAATGTGCATATATATATAAGATTAGTAAACATAATTAAATTGTATTATATAATAAAACGTACTTGAATAGTTATTATAAATAGAAGACTAAAGAACTAAAAAACATATCAAATATAAAATTTTCAATCAATTTTATTAACTGACTAAAGGAAGGTTAGTGTATCCAAATGTAAATATTCAAATATATATTAAACTTAACTAATATTGAGATATGGGTCATATCTAGAGTTGCCAGAAGTCTGGTTTTCTGTAAGCTTGTCCGGTCAAGAAAATTCAACTGGCGTTAGAACAGTTTCCGCGCAACAACAGTGAAACAGCACCAAATTTATTGAAAATTATGCAATATGTGTGTAGCATTCCTATTTCTAATGCTTTTGTCGAAAGAATTTTTAGCGTCATGGGAAATGTATGGACAGACGAAAGAAATCGTCTCAACATAAATACAGTTAAAAGTGAATTGTGTGTTTTCTTCAACATTACTGCTAGTTGCACTGAATTCAAAGACACTATATCAGGCAATAAAAACTTATTAAAAGCAGTGCTATCAAGTACTAAACATATGAAAAAGTAAAAAAGTTTGACTCTGATTTGATATTTTAATACCTAGTCACTTAACAAGTGAATTTATCTGTTAATAAATTTAAAATAAAAATTTGTCAGATTTTTTTTTTCAACACATCTGGCAAGCCTAGTCATATCTCATTAGTAACTTGCTTCTAATGATTAGTCCTAATTCAAATAAACAAGATCATTAAGTATCATAATGATTAGACAAATCTATTTCTTTGAAAAGCGTATTAATTTATTACTATTTTCTTTACTGTCAAGAGGATATGCAGTGCTCGGTTATACTGGAAAGGGACTGTAACAGTGGGAATGTTAAAATGAAGACGTTAAACAGTTTTAAGAACCCTTACACAAAGGTCTGTGTCTTGGAATATCACCACTGTCAATTCATTCAGAGGCAACAAACTTTTGAATTAATCAATGAATGTAGTCTCTCTTTATGTATTTTTGAAGTGAAACATTGTTTTTGTTTTTTTTTTTGTAAAAAAATATGTTGCCTGTGAAATGCACTCCAAATGTTATTTGCCTATCCTTTTTTGTTGCATATACTTCCTCATTTTCCTGTGTTTATTTAATAAAAATCGCCAACCACAATGACAATCTGTAGGTATATAATATGATAGTTTAGCATTTCTACACATTGATTTGATGACATAATAATTTAATATCAAGGGAACATAATCACTAAATATGTGTTTTTTTTTTCTTCCAGGAGACCAGTCTCAACAACATTGTTGATCAGCTGTGCACAAGACTCCAAGATATTAAAGATCAAGAAAGTGCGTCTCTAATAGGTATGCCCACTTGTTCCTTAGAACAAAACGAGGCTGTTCGTCGTTATTACGCTGCATTCCCGGCTCTGAAGAAAGCGCAAGAGTCGCCATTGCAGTATTACTTACCTCCGCCAGCTTGGTGTCGTAAAAACGACACGAAAGTCAAAATGCAGAGTGATTTGATCATTTCAAAAGATTGGAATTGCAAAAACAAGAAAGTAACTTTGGGCAAGGAACGGCGGAATTCTTATCACGGCCAAAAGAAGAACAGCAGAAAGCGTTTCAATAGTTATAGTCGTTCTTTTGAAAGCAAGGAAAGTATGCCAGAGTGGATGACTCACGAAGGAGTTTGGGACATTGAAACTCAAGATCCTGTAAAAGAATTTATCCGTGCAATTGCTTTGGATGAGGGCTATGGTACTTGTGAAAACACAGTCACTGATGAAATTAAAGAGATTACGCAAGCAAAGTTAAGGTTAAATGAAAATATGGTACCTGATTGGGATGATAGTCTAGATCTTGATACGGAATGGGTTATTACTGATGATCTGAATCCACCAGCAAAAAGCCCCATGGACGAAGAAATATATGCTAAATTTGAGGCAAAATTTGATCACAGTCTAGAGGCACTATGGTCAAAGGATCAAAATACTCCTGATGATGAGTATCAAGATTTGCCAATCGATTTTCAAGATCTGTTATCGTCTCCTTCTGACCATTTGTTCGCCGATCCGTCCGCTGAAAAGAATAGTTTGATAACAGAAAGTATATGGTCCACTAGCATCGCAGTTACTCAGCCAAAGATAGAATCGCCTTCGAAAATAGCTGAGGGCTTACACGATCGTCTTCGCCCTTTAAACATCAGAGATCCAGAATGTCCTCGAGAATTGGAGTCATTTACCCTTTATGAGGGAGAAGAACTCTACGATGCACTGTCTTCAGTTGCCAAAACCATGCGATCTTTTACTGCCATCAACCATAGTCGCGATCGAAGTGGCTTTGTAGAAGTTCCGCCACGACTGCGCCGGGACCGTATTTCCGCTGCCCCTCTGCGTCCTCCGCCTTTTCGATCTATCCCGCCGCCTGAAGTCGACCGCGAAGATCCGCTAACTTCTTCGCGAACTCACTTCCGTCCGATCCGCCGTGAACCAGAAACAGAGGCAACTCGCTATGCCGACGGCGATACGTTCGACATTCGCGGCGATTACGATCCGGTCGAATTTAAGCGCAGCGAGTCCGGCAGTGTCTATCTCGAGAACACTCATGAACGCTATCTGGAATACCGCGCCACAAACACTATAGACTACGGCCGACTTAACCTCGGTGCCTCTCAACGTCGCCGAGAAACAAACGACTTGGGATTCAAGCTACGATTCCCGATGCGCCAAATCGATACGGCAGTACAGACCGAGCGCAGTAGTGACGCTTGGGCGTGCGACGAGTGCGGTGGATCTGCCAAAAAAATGCGGCCGAGTGGGATCGAGAGCATTTGGAGCGACGCGTGCGTCTGCGAGTGTGCAGTGGAGCCGGTGCCGAGCAGCGTGCCCGTGCCGCCGGAGGAGTTGTCCCGCGATTGGGAAGAGTTATTGTCCGACATAAGCGCCGCGCACAGAATGTACGCGAACGACGCGGAGACGGATCTAGGCGTGATAGGGGACGATTCGTTCGTGAGTACTGACCGCAAACGACGACACAGTGCGGCCCTGCGCTGCGGCGCACCGCCCTCGGGCCTGTGCACGCACCCGCACGCGCGCTTTTTGCACTGCTGCGTACCCGCAGTCGACCGCCCTCTCACTCGTTAAAGCAGCAGAGCCCAACATGTAAGACAACTCAACACATTTCATAATCTAAAGTAGATTATAGAAGATATCAGAGCTCTTTGTTTTTGTTCGACTGTTTGGAAATGGAGTAGACAATTTGATTTAGTTAATGCAATCTATTCACATGTTGGGAAAAAGTTGTGAAAAGACAACAATATACGGCTTTAAGGAGTGAACGTCGGCGCTGTTATTTCTGAGACTTAATTTTTTTCTTGCTACGTCTTGGAAGCTTGTTTTTGCCACTGGACGAATATATAAATATCCTCTACGTACATTTATTTATGCATGAAAAAAATTATAGTCTCAGTAGTTATGAGGCCATCGTTGACGAGTTTCTTTTGGGCGCCTCGGTAAGAGAGACCTAAGCACGATAGGCTATTTTGGCACAATATCGCTAACTTGCATCGCTGGATAAAACTAAGTGACCTTTATTTGATAATCATGAAATGGCAATTACGCTGGTATTGTGTCAAGGTGGCCTCTATCGATCGTTTCCTTTTACGAACGAACACGCGTTCCATGTATTTATAGCTTATCATCAGTCGTAATAACTGCGAATCCGAGAGTATTACTGTGGAAGTAACTAGGGTAAAATGTCTTGTACAATACAATTCGATAACAATTAACTCTTCGCAGAGCTTTAGATAGCCTTCATATTGATCGTTTCGAGTGGCGTTTAAATACGAGAATAGCAATAGTCGTAGGGTTAAAATTAGCGAAACATTAACTATAATTGTTACTCCAGACACGATTGCATGAGAAGGCAAAAAGTGCTAACATATCTTCGAAAGTGGAGTCTTAATGTAACATTAATTTTAGTTCAATATTTTTTGTCGCGATTTAATATGATATGTATGAATATATATTTGGAAGCTCGATGAAATGCTCTCGCTTTAGATGTAAAAATTATTATAGCAAATGAACTCGGTATTTTTAAAACATATTATTCTATTTACACGGCCTGCCTTTTCGGCCTGTTATTATTTACAATTTACTAAGCAAGTAAGCAGAAGAGTTGTATAATTTTTATATTTTATTACTAAATAATGGGTTAGCATTTCAAGGCGAGCTCTTCGGGCGATTTTAATATAATTCTTACAATAATATCGTCCTGAGATATTTAAATGATTTGTTTATATAAAATGTAGTTGAACTGGGTTTTGTTAATATTTTTATTTACGGCCACGTTTTTTTTTGGATCAAAAGTGCATTTCGAAATTTATTTCAAAATTGTTTTTTGTTTACATAGAAACGTTTAGGATCAGTTTAATAGTTATCGTAGACGGGTCGGCGTTGGGTCTTAGTTATTAGGGCGGAGAGAGGCGGTATCAAAGTTTAGAATCTTACGATGGTAATGTTAGTTATGGTGCCCAATGCTGATGCGGCAAGTCCACACTCGTATGGTTATTTGTTATTGAAGGCAGTGGACAGTTTGTTTCTAATGATTTGTCCGATGTGTCTTAAGTTAAACGCGGCGATTTTATTGATTAGCCGCTAATATAAGATGGCAGGCAGTAGAGGGTCAAGTGTGTACTTCGGGGTGTTTCGCCTACGTGTCTGCCCTAGTAGTAATAATTAAAGTGTAGAATTTTATATGAAGTTGGACAATGTTTGTTTAGAGGGTGAGCACCCTCTAGTGTGGTTAGATTGGAAGGAAAGTTAATGTATGATGATCTTTGGTCATAATACACACCACCACTGTACAGAATTTCGAAGGAATGAGGTCTGATTGAGAATCCAAAACCTTACCTTGTACTACGAACCCGCAAGAAATCAAATTCTGGACAGTGTAGGTGGCCATTTGTAACATAATTATCCAATATGGATGGTAACATTTCATATAGGCGTAACAGTTATTATAGTTTATTATAATACATAAGAAGTGTATGTTATATTTTATATCTTCGTTTATGTTCACGGAGTTGCAGGACTGCCTCTTATGGTGTCTTGGCACAGAGGTCGATCTTGGTAGAGTTAAATTGGCGAATAAGATTGAAACTCTGTGAGAACTCCAATCTTATATTTATTTATCATCTGTAAAAGAGCCTTCCTTAGCGACAGTTTCAAAATTTAAATTCCTTTATGTATTTCATTGTGTTTACCTTGTATCATATTTATTTACTATTTTCTGTAGTGTGATTTACTTACGTTTGTAATAACTAAAAACAAAAAATACCAAAAAAATATATTTGCAAATGTTTTCATTGGAACGGCTACTGTATAATCATATTATGTATATTTATATAATTGTCAACTTTAATGTATTATAGACAATTTCTGTTCTTTATAAATGTATTAATATAGTTTTCAATAATGTTAATTCCATATTTACAGTATCTTAGCGAAGTAGTCTCGGTATGTCTTATAGTTGATTGCCCTAACTCTATTGATACTGTCAAAATGGAATAATAATATCAACGACTTCTAAAAGCTATTGTATCATTTAGTACGGTTGGGTATTTTTAAATCATGCAACTAAATAATTCACAGTCATTTTGTTTGTCTCATGTAATCTTACGTTCCATCAGTTTCTTTATGTTATCATAGATTCATATTTCATGTTATATTGTACTTACTCCATTAAATATATTCGCTAAACAAACCTCGAAAAAAGTTAAAAGAAAATGTAAAAAAAAAGTTATCGTTAGTCAAGGTTGCATATAAATATTATATTCGATTAGCCTTTAATCTAATGTAATGTGCCTATGCACTTGATAGTGTGTTCATTTTATTGGACGCCTCTTTGTGCTGTTTCAAAGACAACTGAAACAATAGAGTTTGCAATGGTGTTTTATTAGGGGACGTTCATAACGACCGATGCGGACTCTATGCCAACGATCGTTGGGACTGTCGAGACAGAAATAACTGTCCAACAGCATCAATGATTCTAACCTGTCAAGTTACTTGTGCCAGTAACCAAATAGTGGTGGACAGAGAATAAGTAATTTGGTTCTCGGTATTAGTAATTTAGCAGATTTATTTATGTACTCACTGTCCCCAATTGAAATTGTTAACCACGTAGTATCGAGTGGTATTCGAGCTTTTGTCAACATGTATTAAATTGTAATACGAATTGAGCAATTTCACGATCGGCGAATAATTACATACCCTAACATAACCTCCTTGAGTAGAGAGCAACTATATAAATTAGTTTTTGACACGTCGCGAAATTAGCACAAGTTTAAAAGTCAAAGAGAAATAAATGTTCGTAGTATTTCAATTCTAATCGTGCAATGCTCTCTTCTCAAAATACAAGTCGGCTTGTAACCGATTGCAGTCGTTTGGCCTTGGTTACATGCATATTTGTTACAGTTCATCATTCTTCTTTCCTTTTAAAATATTAATACTGATTATGGTTATGGAGCCGCCTATGGTTACTCTCGATCACTGATTTCGCGTTGTAAATTTTCTGACAATACATTATATACATATTAAAAATCAAATATCATTTTTTAATTGTTCAAACTTCAATTATTATCCTATTTGAGTTATATTGTTATATCAATTATGGCGTCTAACGAATCGCTTCTTATAAAGTGGTCTTAACTATGGTGGACTCGTAACCGGTTCCCTAAAATATATTTTAAACCGGGGTAGTAGCATTAATCAGGGGTATTCACATTTTTATTTGGTGCCAAATTTTGTAATCTATTGAATAAAAATTCATGCTCAACAGCGACCACTTCGACCTGTCTTTGTACACAAATATGCACGTCACTTCATTGGCACCGGACGTTGTTTTTGATGTAGTCTATAATACTCTAATATAGATCATATTTTAGTGTTAAAAGATTTCTAGATTTTCTGTAACAGCTTAGAAGTGGTTATCCCTGAAAATAGTTACCATTTTCGTTACGTTAGGTTGTGCTCTACTCTGGTACTTGCCATCTATGGGAAGAAAATAAAAATAAAACAAATGCTTGTCGTTTTATTTTGTCCGCACTATCAGTTACTGCGAAGCTTCCGCGCGAGTTCTTAAAATTGTCAAAAAGTTAATAGAGAAGTGGGCGAAGTTGCCACTTGGCTAAAGCAAACTTGACAGCAGTGGACACCTATTGTCCTTTTTCAACACTAAGGTTGGAGCGAGAACGCACGATACAAAAACCTTAGTTTACACTTTCATCCATTGAAATGCACGCGGTGCCTCGACGGGAGTGAGCCGGTTCGTCGATTCGAAATAACAGTGAAGCCGCTACCAACTATTTCGTCAAACAAATAAACTGCAATCTAGTTTTGGACTCATAACTTGTGAATTGCTTTGTGACTTACTGATTTTGGACATCACCAATAAATAGGGTAAGTGACATTAAGAAACTATTATAGCAGTTAGCGAATTTGACTCGGAAACGGGTTGTCTGGTTATTGGTTATAAAAATATTTAATTATTAAGATTGTATCTATTTCTGAAATTAGTGAAGCTTTAGATTACGTTACCGTACTTATGTTGGTTAGTTTAAATTATCTGTTTAAATTGGGCAGCTTTAAGCACTACATTGGCGTACCTTCAGCTTTTTCATTCATCTGATTCATATGAAAGTTTAAAAGAATGATTATATTGATATCTAAGAAGATTTATCAATGATCGTGTTTTGGCAAAAATAACCTACAAATGCAAACTATTTGCGGAATTATTATATTATGCAAGTTTTTTGAGATTTTAATTTTGTAATCAGTAAATGTAACTCATGTAAAAATGTACGGCACGAGCGGGACTCGAACTGGCATCCACATCGTTCCGAGCTGTTAAACTTAACCAATTGAGCTACCGTACCTTAACTAAAACTTTAGCTATATATGTCAATACCTATTCTACATTATACTAAAAACCAACTTGTGTATTGTCTTTTCGCTGACAATTTAAAATTAGTTTTAGGACGTTAAAAATATGTTTTTGTCAACGAGTTTGAATCATATTTGCAAGATTTCGCATAGCTCTGTTTAAATTAAGTGTGTAACATGCGAAAGCAATTCTATAACATTTA